CCCGGCGGCCGAGGAAAGCGAACGAGCAGGCCAGGAGTTGCTTTGTTTCTTTTTTAAGGTTCAGGGTTTTGGTTTAGGGTTCAGGGTTTTGGTTTAGGGTTTAGGGTTTTGGTTTAGGGTTCAGGGTTTTGGTTTAGGGTTTAGGGTTTGGGGTTTAGGGTTTTGGTTTAGGGTTTAGGGTTTAGGGTTTAGGGTTTGGCATTTCTGCGAGGGATATGGGGTTTAGGCTTTTGTCTGTACAAAGTGTGTTGCAAGAGTTTTAGGGGTTCAGGGTTTTGGTTTTTAGGGATTGTTGTACGGGTTTTGGGGGTTCAGGATTTTTTGGGGTGTAGGTTCTTGCAGAGTTCCAGAGTTGTTATATAGGATCTCCACGGTCTTCAACATTTTGAGTGTTTTCTTCGGGGGTTGGGAGATGAGGATGATTAGGGCGTTGACAGGGAGGAAGGGGAGATGTAAACCCTAAACCCTAAACCCTAAACCCTAAACCCTAAGCCCTAAACCCTAATGGAAGAGACTTTCATGCGAAGTCTAGAGAAGCTAAGTGGTCTGAGGCAGCGGCAGCATGCAAGCTGGGGAGGAGTGTGCAGAAGATCCGGCCCCTGACCGCTCCTTCGTCCCGGCTCCTGCTCTTCACAGGCCAGGCAGGGTTCCAAGTTCCGGGTTCAGGGTCCCGGCCCTAACCCGAAACCTGAAACCCTAAATCTAAAAAAGGCCCAAAACCCTCAGGCCGTACCCAAATGCAGACGGAGAAGAGCCCACAAACCCCCCAAAAGTTTGAGAGCTTGGGAAACCCCAAACCCTAAACCCGCTAAACCCTAAACCCTAAACCCTAAACCCAAAACCCAAACCCTCAACCCTAAGCCCATCCCAGGCCGGCTCCTTCAAAGGATGCTTGGCGCGCTCAGCCGGTGACCGACGGACAAGCCTTGCTCCTGAAGTCGAAGTTGGAGGACAGCAGAGGCTGCAGTTGAAACTATAATATAACATATAATGGAGTGTATATATATATATATATG